CCCTTCCCCCCTGGGTGGTAAACAATGACCGGTTCCTAGTGTTGAAAAACTGAACGTTCCAACAGTTTTCTCTAAAGGTGTATCCACCACGAATTCAGCTGTTAAGCAAGCTGGGCATCGTCTTAATGTGCTCTTTACTTATCGGCCCAAGAAGAGCGATTTTCGAACGTAGTATTGTGGGCGTAAGATTACAAAAAATTTTAAGTCGTCAGCAATGCATATAATAGGGGCAGGTAAAGGTTAATGTAAAACTTTATTCAGACACAACACAAGCCCATTTAAGTTGAGAGGAGGAGCTCAGACGTTCCAACTCTGGTGCATAACTCGGACTATGTGTTCGTGTCGCTTAGGCTCCGCTCGCGTGAAAAAAACGCAAAAAGAGCCACAAAGATGATCTGGGCACAATTTTGGTGCACTGACAATAAATCAGCTTTCAAAAACAGACTGGCTGTATCTAAGTACCAAAGACAGAAAAGTCTTTGATAATACACCTCAGACAAAATTACTTAGCTGAAAAAGAAAAAAGTTTAAAATACGGTACGGTCGAAAAGAGGTTAACATATTGACCATATGCTAAATTACTTGATAAATATTTCACTCGCGCAATACGTTTTCGCCAAACCGTTTTACGTTCGACTTCATTTAACGAACTTCAAGACCCAGTCCAAGTCTGACAAGATGTAGGGATCACATGCTTTTCCATCGGCCTACAGTTTAAAAACTTTGGGTTTCCTTGGTTTGCTTGCCTGCGCATGCTCTTCTGTATGTGTAGCTGACCATCGCTTGAATAAAATGACCACTATGATTGTGGTGCAGAACAGAGCAAGAGCTGCAAAGCTCGTCACACTGAGGACTACAATCATGGTCACAGAAAGTTCGTCTCCCTCCACTTCCGTCTGATCTTCATCCTCTTGTGACTTTTGATCTAGAAAACGCGAGAAAAAGATTTGGTACATATAATTTATTCAGCAAATGCAGGATTGTCGAGAGAAAGCCGCAGTAGGGATGTAAGGTCATAGGTGTACAGATTGAAGTTCCTAGAAGGGTGGAGGGGGCCGCACTAATGTTTTTCTCGAATTTGAGTGTGTTCGGGGACCTCCACCTCACCCCTCCCCCCCTTACTCGAGTCGACAACTTTGTTCCCAGGGCCTGTTCCCGCTCCATCCCCAACTACGGGAAGAGGCCCTGGGAACGAGGTTGCCGAGTCGAGTCTTGAAATGGGTGTTTCTCTGGCCCCGGAAGCCTCAAGAGGGGGTTAGCATGGCGATGCGCCGAGTAGAACGTAGTATCAACAATTAATTTATTGACTGAGTGCTTAAAAATCAAAATAAACAACTTTTAAAAATCGAGTTTCCAGATGGGATTTGAACCCACGACCCACCGTGATCTAGTCGGATGCTCTAACCACTGAGCTACAGGAGACTCTATGGTGAGCATGGGTCAATTAGTGGGATGCGGTCAATTAATGGGATGCGGTTCCAGTCAATACCCACTAATTGAATCTTGCTCACCATAGAGTCTCCTGTAGCTCAGTGGTTAGAGCATCCGACTAGATCACGGTGGGTCGTGGGTTCAAATCCCATCTGGAAACTTGATGCTTAAAAATCGTTAGAATATGCGTAGGTGGCTCCGGGAGGTCAATAAGGAAACATGAGGAAAAAGTGAAACCCATTTTCTTTTCTTGGCCACAATGCATGTAAACGCAAAAAATAACTTCTGTTCGGCAGGCTTCTCCCACACCCCCTTAACTGCCCCCACCCCCCTAGGAGGGGGCACAGAACGCTGAAAAATGAACACACCTTTTCCATCATCTTTTTCTTTGACCAAATAAGGACCAACAACGAGAGAGAACGTGTTGGATCCTGGGTCGTACCCAGGCTTCTCTTCCCCACTCCTCCTCTTTCTGGATGCTCCAGTTGAGCCTGCTGTACAGTTGTTACAGCGGTCAGTGCATAACGAAGCCTCGGCTTTTTCAAGACAGACGATGACGTCACAGAAGAAGAAGACGAATTCATCCGGGGAGTTGAGAATGCGGAAGGCGTTTATCCGAAAATCCTGAATGGTTGAATTGGCACATGTGTAGACCAGGGTAGCGTCCTTACCATTGTTACAGCTGTTTCGAAACGGAAGAAAGATATGATTTTTTTCTCACTCCATACAAGTGATCAAACTCGTTCCTAGGGCCTTTTCCCTTAGTTGAGGGTGGGGCCCGCTCCCAAACGAAGGAAAAGGCACTGGGAACGAGGTTGAAAAGGGATGAGTTGGCGATAGATGTAAACTTAAGACTAATAGTTGTATGGTCGAATTTCACGAAAATGTGGCCAGTACGTCATCACGACTTCTTCTGGTACCCAAGAGGATTTCATATATCATAATTATTTCGAGAACCCTCTTACAAAAAATTTCACTGAAGTGTCGAAAGCAATTCTGAATTGCATTGGTTTTTCTAGCATCACTTCGCTCTGTGATTGGTTAAGAATACTCACACCATCCTCGTAACCAATCAGATCCAAGCCAAAAGGAGTTCTTTGAGCTCTGCCAGGCCTCTGGTCATACTCACCTTTGTTCTGATTGGCTGTTGGGATTACATTATCGGTCTTCGGTGGCGTCACTCCATCGAAATGCACAATAGCACGACATCCCAGTTATTAGAAACTAGATTTTTATTGCCCTGACGATTACCGAATTATTAGGATTTCACTTTATAAAGAAAAGAAATTGACGAGTCAGAAATAGCCGATTTAATTTGCCGGTAAAATCTGTTAAAAGTAGACTTGGTGTTCCTGGAAATATCGCCATCTATTTACTTATTTGATGTGGATTTTACCCGTTTTCGAGAAATTCGCGTGATCCAGAAAAATCCCGGTTTCTTGCCCAACATTTCTCGAGATGAAGAATCAAGGCTGAATCGCCTGACGAAACTTGTACTCTGAAGTGTAAAGGAGTTCCGGGTATCACGGGAAGGTCTCGGTCTAACTTGAGCTGCCTTTCTGGGTCACTGTAAACCTCCATTTCAAACGAGAATTTTCCATACACTGAAACAAATACATACAAACCGGTTAGATATGATAGTTGAAAATTACTAGCAAACCCGGAGGGTATGACGAACGAGTAGGGAGGCAGTCACATGAACAGCGTGGCTGTCTGACAAAAAGATAGATAGACAGACAGGCAGTCGAACAGACGGACAGACAGAAAAAAGACACATGGTCCGACAGACAGACGGACAGATGGATAGACAAACAGACAGACAGACGGTCAGATAGACATACCGACAGACGGATAGACAGAAAAAAGACACATGGTCCGACAGACAGACGGACAGATGGATAGACAAACAGACAGACAGACGGTCAGATAGACACACCGACAGACGGATAGGCAGAAAGAGAGACAGATAGACGGTCGGACAGTCAGACGGATAGAGAAAAAGACACACAGACGGTCAGATAGACACACGGACAGACGGATAGGCAGATAGACACACCGACAGACGGATAGACAGAAAGACAGACAGATAGACGGTCGGACAGTCAGACGGATAGAGAAAAAGACACACAGACGGTCAGATAGACACACGGACAGACGGATAGACAGAAAGACAGACAGATAGACGGTCAGACAGTCAGACGGATAGAGAAAAAGACACACAGACGGTCAGATAGACAGACGGATAGGCAGATAGACACACCGACAGACGGATAGACAGAAAGACAGACAGATAGACGGTCGGACAGTCAGACGGATAGAGAAAAAGACACACAGACGGTCAGATAGACACACGGACAGACGGATAGGCAGAAAGAGAGACAGATAGACGGTCAGACAGACAGACGGATTAACAAACAGACACAGACGGTCAGACAAACAGATGAACAGAAAGAGAGATGGAGAGACAGACATCGGAAAGGACAGACAAACAGACCGACAGACGAACAGACAGACATAAGGACAGACATACTGACTGATTGACAGACAGACACACACACACACACAGGCAGACTCATGCACTGACTGACAGATAGACAACTAGACTGACGTCAAAGAACAGACAGATTGACTGACTAACTGACAGACTGACAGAGAGACAGGCAAACAGACAGGCAGTAAGACAGATGCATAGACGGGCTGACAGACAAACAGAACAACTGGAAAACAGATGGAATGAAACTTAGAAACAGCCAAGCGGAGCCAGATGGCAGTAGATGACGCAATTTGAGAAATAAATAGGCCAGAAGCATTTTACAACGCAAACAAATTCACACCATACCTGTTTGACTCACGGAGATTTCCTGCTCAGGCTTGATGGAAACAGATGCAGAGCCATTACGATCGTATCTGCAGATGATGCGAGACTCAAAATCGTACTTGCGCGTCTGCAGCTGATTCCCTACTGGTTTTGGACTCCATTTTGCAGCATTGGAGAACACAATGTAATCGGGATTCGAGCCGATCCGAATCGTCCCGCAACCATTCAGAGGTATATCAAATCTGGCATGGGTTGCATTGCTTTCCGTCGCTTTGCAGCCGGAATCGATGAGATGCATTTCAGAGGCAATCAGATCAGGATTTTGATCAAGGTCCACAACTATCCTCATTTTGGTTGGAAGGCATGACGAAACTGACCCCAAATCTGGTAAAAAAAAAAAAAGAAAAAGAGTTAGAAGGGGACAAATTATAATTAATTTTAATTTTTTTTTTTATATATCATTTTCATTTATTCAGCTCTAATCTTTGGAAACACTACTTTAAAAAGGTTCCAGTTATTTTTCGTTAGGGACAAAGGGAACGGAGGGGGGATCCGTTATCATCGTTAACAGAGTATAAAGTAGGGGGTGGGGATGGGGCTATGAAAAATTGGCTGCCAGTGGGGGAGGGGTTTTCGCTAGAATACTGCAGAGCCTTCGTGGGGTATGAGGTAAATTTTCTTGTGACACAGCCAAAATCCTCCGTCCCCCACCCTTCCCCCCTGGGTGGTAAACAATGACCGGTTCCTAGTGTTGAAAAACTGAACGTTCCAACAGTTTTCTCTAAAGGTGTATCCATTTTCGAAGGTGCTCATTGTTCTGAGGGAAAAAAAAAAAACCTCGAATTTCTTATAGGTGAGTAGCAAGTTACTTACCGTTGGCAGACACTACGTCGTGCTGAGAACAAAAGAAAACGGCTAGAAACAAACTTCCTGTGATGAGTTTCATTTCTCCAATGTTGTAAAGTTGTAGGTTTTGGGGACGTAGTCTGAAAATAAGTACAAGTATGGTAAATGTCGAGGATCAAGTTTGAGCCGACAGGCTGGCCGAGAAGAAATTTGTTTAGCTAACGGGTGTAGCGGATAATTTTGCAGGTTTGTCGGGCTTTTAGATTAAGCACAATTCTTAAAAGATAAGCCCCAGTGAGAAAACATCCTGCGGGCTAAAACACCGAAAAAATTTGATTTTTTATTTCAATAAAAAAAACTGTCTAGCTAATTAGGCCCGGTTCAAACGTCGAATTTCACATGTGCCGAACTTAATGCGAGAGTTAAATGCATGTGAAGTGCGACGTTTGAATCAATTAAATTCGACTGTTTTAAATTAAATGCGACTCTTGCCATACCTGCGACTGAAACAGTCGAAGATTCGATTAAGGCTCGACTTTTGATTCAAACGTCGCATCTCACATGTGCCGAACTTAATGCATGAATTACAGGAAATTATTATAATTCATTTATTACCCACAAATCGCCAGGAATTCTATGAATACCATGCGCGAAAAAGCCAAAACAGCACCAAAAATCGGAGACGATGGAATATTTGAAGTTCTTGCTTTGAAAAGACAAAATACAGTTGTTTGACGTGCGGTAATTACTTTTGTATGAGGTGTAGGTTTTTGAAAACGAAGACGGCACTCCTGGGTGGAAAGTAGGAAACTCTGTGGCATATTGTAGGTCGTGTTTCAATGAAATGATGGTACGTGAATCAAGTGAAAGTATCATGACGAAAAGCCAAAATAAAGAAGCAAAAACAAACAACAAAACAAGAGCATCAGTGAAGCAATTAAGTAAACGCTCAATAGACGTCTTCGTCTAGCAAATAAATAGTGCGCCTGGGAATATCGACAGCGAACAGAGTTGAATTCCTT